AGAGCTTCACTGTAAGTATGAGGGGGCTCGGCTCCTGTCATAACATCTCGGGCAAAATCCAATCTCAACCCTTGCACAAACTTATCTCTCTTAACCGGTGTATACACTATGCCAGGTGCAAACGAGCAAGGGGGGTGAATCTTACTGAATATTATTTCAAAGTACTAGTCCCTGCTTCAGATGATAAAACTCTTGGACTTTCTAGTACTCGATCTTCTGTTCGATACTCAGACTCAAACAATCTTCGAATTCTTCCCAGGTCATCGAGGCATATCATGGTCTCCTCCATTAATTCCTACCAAATTCGGGCATCTCCTGAAATAAAAACTAGCATATCTGATCCTCTCTCTATCATTCATGGGAAACAAAGCACCGTCGCTCTACGGACTTAAACCATCTTCTGCTTCCAACGGTTCCCTAGTACTCCTAAATCTGACGGCGGTGCTGGCTTGCAAGCCCCTGAATCGGATCAACCTGATCTGTACTGTCTAAGGTACCGGCCCTTCTCGCTCTGTCTTACGACGGTCTTTTAGGGGTCTCATTCTTTCTGGTACAAATTCCATGACTCTTAGCTAACACCTGATGTACTACGTTTCGGATCATGTCTCATCAAGAGTAGGGGGAGTTGGTTCTGGTGGGTTAGAGGGTTTCCCTCATTCATCACAATCTTACCTTCTTCCGGTTACACGTCTCATCTACAAAACGATCACACTTGATCAATTCAAGAGACACTTAATGTAAGGAAAGAATTAACTACACAGTCGGCTCTCGACTCGTAGCGACGAGAATGGTACACTGTCAAATCCCAAAATCTCTGCTCGATACCAAAAATGTAATAGACATTTCTACTCAAATATTCTAAAACATGTACATAATAAAATACATATAACATAGCATAAAAAGGTTGGGCCCAAAATTTTTTATTAAACATTACATTCTTTTACAAAAAGTTGTATCATGTACAAAGGATCAAAACAAGGTGGACAGTGTAGCCATCCTGCTTGCCGATGCCCATCCGACTGTGTCCTACCTAGATCCTGCAAAACATGGAAAACAACGGGTGGGAGCACAACTAATGCTCAGTAAGCAAATCCTCTACTCATCCTCCGTAGCTCTTATATTTCTTTCCTTATAATTCTTGTTTACTCTCTCTCTCTCTCTATATTTCTCTATTTTCTCTTTCTATAACTCTTTTCTATAACTCTTTTAGTAGTCACGGCCTCATCTTACCGGAGGCACGGCGGGACTCGCTCTCCCGTCTACGGTTCTCTCATTCAGCGATGGACTCGGTTATGCATGGATTCGGAACCCTTGGCCATGTGAGTAATAAAACTCTTCTCTAGGTACTCTCGGTTAGCCTATCACATGCACTTCATGGGCTACACCACTTCTCTCTCTACAATTCATACCGCTCTCTCAATGCGGCATACATGCGGGAATACTCTACCCAACTCACAAGTTCCCCATCACACAACATACTCAAACCTTTCATTTAGACTACTTTCTCTTTGTTCTCTAGTGCTCATTCTCTCTTCTCTTTACTTTTAAGTAGCTTATACTCAAATTCTTACTATTTCTCTATCTCTTTCCAATGCATTAATGCATATGGATGACTCATGCTATTAATGCACCATGAAATGCAATTAGCCATATAGCAATAATTAAGGTTCCCTACTCTTATCATGCCTACTCAAGCATTTTATCATACAACTCATGTGCATATAAAACTCTATTGTAACAATAACTTCCTCTTTCTGAACATTCCCAATATGGGAGAGAACTCTCTCATACACTCTAAATTCCTGTCAAAGAAAACAATCCAAATAGGTTTACCAAACATCTCCCAAAACTTCATCTAAATCTCCACTTTCCATACTCACCAAAACACTTCTCATACATGAAGTGTATCCAACAACCACAAAATAGCTACTTATCTGTTACGCCCTATTTGAGGTACGTAGCTAAGTTATGGTGTATTCCTTGAATGTTTATTGTTTTGCTTTTATTTGGGTTGATATAGTTTAATTTTGGTTGGCCCTTAGTTGAATTTTTGTTAAAGTTAGAAAAGTAGAGAAAATCCCTTAAACTTTCATTAGGGGTAAATGGTCTTTTCACTCAAAATTGTTGAAATGTGGGGAGTGAAGAAAATAGAATTCATAGAGAATGATTAAAAATGAGGGCCTATTGTAAATGACAAGGGACATAGATGGATTTCCAAGAAAGAGCAAGGGCAAAATGGGAAAGTGTGGCTATAAATTAAAGTGTTAAGGGTTTGAAACCCTTCATTTTTTCTCACCCCCACACTCTGCCCCAATTTCTTCAAATTGTCATTCAATCCTCCAAGGATTTGAGGGTTTTTAAGTGGTTTTTATAGGGTTTGATTCTAGGCATTACAAGGTAAGATTCAAGCTCTTTACTATAATTTATTTGTGTAAAGGTTGAGTTTCTATGAGTTTATGTTAGGGTTAAGAGAAGATTGGAATCCAACAAAAATAGAGAGCTTAGGAGAGCTACTCAAGCACAAGGTAAGTAAATTCACTCAAAATCCAACTCAAGCTCAAATTTAAGAATTCAAGTGAGTTAAGTTCTTTTAAATATGCATATGTTGTGATTATTGAGAAATTGAGATGAGATTGATGATGAATTATGCTTGCTGTTGGATATATTTGAATATGAGAAGTATATGTGATGATTTGATGATGGGTTGAAATTGGAAGAATTGGAGAAATTTTTGTGGAGTGTGTTTGCCATGTAGGTATGTGATGGCTACAAGAGAGTTTTTCTCTCATTTTGGATGGTTTGAGAACTAAATAGAATGATAATTGAATTAGGGTTCGTTTATGCACAATTAATGTTTGATGATATGCCTAAGTGAAAACTATCTTGTCACAGCTGTGACTTTCTGAGTGACTTTTGGGCATCTTACAGATTGAACTGGGTTGAGACCAAAACCTAAAAGTTTTAGCCCTGTCTCTAAGCTTTAAAAGAGACCAAAACTGTAGCAATCCGAGGTCTATAACTCAAGTTATGTCTCCTTGAGTGTGACATGCACAGAATGACTATTTTGATGCAATATTGCATTTGTGCATTTCATAAGTGCATTAAGTGAGAAACTTTAAGCATGAACCATCCTTATGCATTAATTGTGCATTGAGAAGTATTTTTAGAAAGAGTAGAGAACTTTGTGAATGGGCTACTCTAAAAGTAAAGAGAATGAGAAAAATCTAAGAACGGGTTGGTGCTTTGTGAATTCCACCCGGAAGGAGCGAAGAGTGGGTTGGTGCTTTGTGAACTCCACCCAGCCGTGCCTCCGGTAAGATGAGGCCGTGACATTCCAGTGAGAAAGAATGAGAAAATATAAGAAAGAATAGAGGGAGAGAATGAGTAGAAGTCACGAAGAGTGGGTGGGTGATTGTGATCTCCACTCAGCCGTGCCTTCGGTAAGATGAGGCCGTGACATACAATAGAAAGTTGATAGAAAAGAGCTATGTGAAAGAGAAATAGAAAGAGAAAATAAATGATATGAGAAAAGTGTAAGGAAAGAATTAAGAGAAAGAGTCACGGGGATAGACGAGTAGAGGATTTACTTACTGAGAATTATTTTGTGCTCACCCTGTTGTTTTTCTTTGTGTTTGCAAGATCTAGGTGAGGACACGGTTGGATGGGCATCGGCAAGCGAGGGGTAATAGCTACACTATCCATTGTTTTTGATAACTTTTACTAATGATGCCTTACTTTGTATGAAGAATGATTAAATGTATTAAAAGAAACTTTTGGGCCCATTTACTTTTGCTAATATAAATATATGTACTTGATGTATTTCTATGAGTATCCTAGTATGAAGCAGTTATTACATTATCTCAACTAAATTCCTCATCAAACATACTACATACTTATACATGAATACATCTCTACTCAATTTCTACTCAAAAGCTTATTCAAATCTCAACTTGGTTGGATTTACTTACTTTGTGAAAAAAGTGACTTCTCTACCACTTTTCCTTCCCCTTGTTGTCTTGTCTTCTCTCTTCAACTTAAAACAACAACAAGAACAATAATAACAATATAAGATTTCAATATAACCATAAGCAAAACTCACATCTAAAGCAAGAATCCTTACCTTAGGATGCTTGAGATGAAATTTCTAATAAAATTACCCAAAAGCTCTCTTAAACTCCTTAGAAATCTTGGGAAAATTGAAGGAAAATTGAGAGAATTTAGAGAATGGGTATGGCGGTGGAATTGAATGAAAATGAAGGGTTTATGTCACTTAACCCTTTTTAACTTATATTATAACCTTCCTTTCCCATTTTGCCCTTGTTCTTTCTTGGAAATTCCATCTATATCTTTGATTCATTACATTCACACCCTTACACTAACCTATTCTCCCTGAAATTTCCTTACATTTTACTGCCCACTTTTCCTGCTAATTAGGGGTAGAATGGTCATTTTTCCCCTATGGAGAATTCTCTAGAAATCTTAAGAAAACTTTTCTGCCATCCCGTCGCCGCGGCGAAGCAATTCCGTCACCCCGATGAAAACTGATAGAACCGACACTGCAATTGCAATGTCAATGTCGCCGCGGCGAAGACTGTATTTCCAAGATCCCTTAAGTCTCAACCAATCTTAAGGCAAACACTCAACCAACTCAACATACAACTCAATTGAAACTGACTCAATGAACATTTAAGCAACACAGCAAACCTTAAATACGTACCTCAAGTGGGGCGTTACAGTACAAGGTGTTAAAAGCACTGTTTGGGAGTCGTCTGACTGAGGGTGCCCAAGTTGGTCCTCATGTGCTCAAGATGATCGAGGACATAGAGAGGCTTGAGACTTTAGGATGTGGCTTGGATGCAGAATTACAAATGGATTTAATTCTGCAATCCTTGTCTGANTAGTTCTCACAAATTGATTGGGGGGCCCAAGGAGGTATTTTAATTCTGAGCCCTTATTTGCTTGGGCTTTTGGCAGTCAACTTGATTGGCTCAATAAGGTATTTTATTCGCTGAGGTATTCTCAACTCCCAATCTCACATCTCTGTTGTCGCGAACATTCCTCTCTCTTGCTAATCCTCTGAAATTCTCCGTCTTTTAATTGTGGATTTATCGAAAATCCAAAGCATCCGATATCTCCTCTAAGGAGGTTTGTTGTGATATTCTATTTCTAATTCTAATTATTTCATCATTTTATTTGTTGGTTCTACCAGGAGCACGTATTTAGGTTTCTTGATTAGGGATAAAATAAATTTTGTTTTTGTCTCGCAAGGGACCTGAAACTAATCCTTTTTGTGAAATTCGTTCATCACATGGTTTTTTAGGGCAACAAGATAAATCCTAATTTGAAGCTAAAAGATTGTGGTTAGTGGTTTTTAATTATTGTATTATTCGATCCTTAAAATTTTTGTATAAGGATTTTGGGTACTGTTGATCTCTTCAAAAAAATTCAAGAATTTTGTGTACTGGAGCACAAGTTTTTCAACAATTGAACTCATTGGGTTGTCATTAAACAAGTTTTAATTCCAAGATGTTTTTAAACGAACAATTGGATAAATTCAAGAAGCAGCAAGAGAAGTGTCAGGCAACTCTCACCAGCATTGCTGCCAAATCTTCAAAGACTTCATCGTCTAGGGCCACACCTGTAGCGGCATCACCTGCACCAAGGGCTCCTGCTCCTGCTGTCAAATTTTCAAATGATACAGAGAGACTTCAACATATTAATAGCATCCGAAAAGCCCCTGTTGGGGCTCAGATTAAGCGTGTTATAGACCTTCTCTTGGAGGTTCTAGTCTAACCTTTTTCCTTTTTAGTCCATAATGCAAACGCTTAGATTAAATTTGCTATATATATACTGTAACCCTAAATTTCTAATAGCTATTGTATCAGCAGTGCATATAATTAACAACGCACAGGTTATGGTTGCTTATTTTTGATGGTGCATATAGTTGTTGAGACTCCAAATGATGATTACTTTAGTTCATAGCCAAATAGCAAAATGTTTTGAAGCGGAAAAATACTTTTGGGAGGTTATTGGAGGAGGAAGGGTTTTAATGATACAGTTACTTTTGGCAAGATGATATTAGCCTAGTTTGGATTAAGATGTTCTTTGTCTTGAAGTGATTGTGGGTTTTAAGGACGACTTGAGGAAGACCCTAGGTTGTCTCAACCGGGACAGTTGGAAGCATGGTATGGTAGTTGGCTGTTTTGGTTTTAAAGTGGTAAGGGTTCTTCGGCATATGGGGAAATTATTAGAGTTCAGGACAAATGCTGTAGTGTAAGATTGTAGCAATTCTAGCTGATGGCTGCATATGTGGAAATTATTGGAGTTTGGGACGAATGCTCTAGTGTAAGATTGTAGCAATTGTAGCTGGTGATTGTCAGGTTCATAGTTGATTTTTCTAGTAGTTGGGAGAGTCAGAAAACAAGAATGTTTTATGGTTTATTATTGTCTCATTATATTTGTTTTCTAGTGGGCGCTGATGCCTAAATATTTATCAATTCCCTGTCAAAGAAAGTCCTGAAATATGGCATTCAGTTTGTGTGGCCTGGACCCATTGAAATCATACAAGTAATGATTCTGGCAGATTATGAAGTGTGCTGATGTTCTGGTGTAAGGAATTTAGATTCAGAGGACGATATACAATAGCTGTTGAGTGTAGTATATTTTATGTCATATTCCCTCCCTTTTCTCTTTCCCTGGGTCTTTCTTCCTCCTCATTGTGTGTTTATCCTTTCCTCTGAATTTTAGATGTTAAGGAGGAAATGCTAACACCCGACTTTGCTAAGACCACTTGAGAAGTTAAAACCATCTCATGAGTTGTTTTATGAATGTCTACAGACAAGGCAAGCCTTTACACCTGAGCAAATTAATGAAGCATGCTACGTTGATGCGAAAGCCAACAAAGCTGTCTTTGACAGCTTGAGGAACAACCCAAAAGTCCACTATGATGGAAGACGCTTCTCCTACAAGGTAACTGTCAACTCTCAAATATTTGCACCTGCAAACCCTGTGAATTGGCATATTTTGGAATTACTAGTCAAGTCATGATTAATGTGATGGTTACTGACTTTCTTTCGCCTCCCTAGAATATGACATTTTTTGTAATATTTTCATATAGTCCAAGCATGATGTGAAGGAGAAGAGTGAACTACTTGTTTTAATTCGAAAATTTCCAGAGGGAATTGCTGTCATCGATCTTAAAGATGCATACCCAACTGTGATGGAGGACTTACAGGTATATAAAAATTTGTTCTCTTTCTTGTGTTGAAAATTTTTCATCAGCATACACAGAATTTATGTATGAGCACTTCAGTTTGGAGTATGGAAACCTCTAGAGGGTTCATCTTGTCATGAAGCCATAAGTGGACCTTTTACTTTGGTTTCTTTTTGACAATGTGATGTTTTTGAGCATTATGACTGTATACCGCGACCAAGGCTTATTGGTGATTGATACTGTTGGAAAATGATGAGATGCTTAAGAACTGCAGATGCATCATTGTTCTTGTAATTTATGGATGCTGAGGCTAATAGGATGGAATTGTAAGATCATCTTGCCTGATTGAGTTGTGAAGGACAAAAGTCAATAGTCATTATGAAATGAGACAGTTTTCTTTTATGGAACACATGAAATTTGGCTTTGGTTGGCCTTGGAGATTATTGGAGAATTTGATACAAGCTTTGAAATCTCTAGATTCACCTCTGCTTGGATGCCAGTAATTTTAAAATCTTGCAACCCTGCAAAAGGAGCCATTATGAATACCAATATGTTTTTTTTTTTCCTTTCTCATGTGGTGTTTGTGTGTCTCTCTTTCTCTCTGGTTCTGGTTTTAGGAAACCTCTTTTCTTTTATTTCTTGCAAATAGGTTTTTGGTCACCTATAATGTATAGATTATGTGCATATAGTTCTCAATTGAAATTTTAAACAGCAGCTTTAGCACAAGAGTTACCTGTTAAAGTGAGAGAAGGTAAGAGCACATTCCAAATTGTAATTTGTGGTACTGCATTTTTTAGTGCTTGCTTGCTGGGCAGAGTATTAAATTTTGAACTTTTTTGTGTTATCTCTGTATCTTTAAGTACAAAGTCATTTCTTTTGTAGGCTTTAAAAGCTGCAGGCCAGATTTGGCTGTTGTCAAATTTTGATTCACAAGAAGATATTGCCTACCCTAATGACCCCAGAGTGCCAATTAAGGTGGATGATGACCTTAAGCAACTTTTCCGAGAGATTGAATTACCTCGTGACATGCTTGATATTGAGAAGGATCTTGCAAAGACTGGTATGAAGCCTGCCACCAATACTGCACAGAGGAGGGCTGCAGCACAGGTACAGGGCATTTCCACCAAGGCCAAGCCTAAGAAGAAGAAGCATGAGATCAGCAAGAGAACCAAGCTTACCAATGCACATCTTCCGGAGCTTTTTCAGAATCTCAATGGCTCTTGAAACTTGAGGCTATATCAAGACTTTGTTGGACTGCCCATTCAGACAGAGATAGCCATATTTTGACTTGGACATTGTGCACCTTTGCTAGTCGAGGGTTAATGTAGATAAGGATCTTCTGAGATAGCACTAAGATGATGTGATTTGGTGCATGCTTTTTATCAAGTGAATTGCCGTGCTGTGGTCTAAGATTTTTTCATGGCTTAAAATTGCCTTCAACAACTTCATCTCTAATTCAAACTTCACGTTTGTAGTTGTGATTGATGGTTGCTCTGTTATGATATAATTCTAATACTATAGGGTTAAATGCCTTGAAGCGGAGGAATAATGTGGGGTTTGCAAGCTTGATACCGTGAAAATATGCTTTCACTTTTATCAGTTTTCAATACCTAGCTTGAAAGGGACTTGAATGTTTCTAACTTCGGAGTATAATCACATATTTGCCTTCTCGGATATAACACATTTTGGCAATTTTATTTTGGGCCCGGAGCAGAAACTTATCTCTTATACCATTTGGGTTCACAGAGCAAATCATTGGTCCGTTTGTTTAATTATTTGTGTACTATTCTATCCTTATCTTATTCAAAATACACATTTGTTTTTTTATTTTGAAAAACCTATTTTATTTTATTCAATTACTTTTAAACTCCATAAGTTTGTTAATTTAACTAAACACCTTCCAAAAAAAGTTTAGAAATTAACAAAAACACTCTCATCCACCGACACTTTTCAGATTCCGGCCACCATCGTCAAAAGGTGGCTAGAATCTGGTATAATGGCACACTATTGGTTGGATCTGACCGGTAGTGCGTCAATCTATCATTTTTCGGCTAGATCAACTGTAGATCTGGCCAGAAAATGCTAGATCAACGACTAAAGACCTGGCTGTTGACGAGCAGATCTTTGGCCGTAGCTGATCATCAACGACAGTCATATCTTTGGCCGTCGTTGACAACCAAACATGACCAGATCTGATCATAGATATGGCTTTTTCCAACCAGATCCAAGATGGATTTGGTTGGAAAAAGTCATCTCGGTGTATGACCTGCTAGATCCAGTCGGTCGTGTGGCGATACGGTGACTCCGACCACCCTCCGACGGTCGTGTGACGATACGGCGACTTCGACCACCCTCTGACGGTGGTGGCCGACTGCCAGTATTTAATGGGTGGGTGGGGGTGTTTTTGTAATTTTTAATGCTTTTATTACAGGGGTGTTTAGTAAATTAGCAAACCTAGGGGATGTTTTTGTTAATTTTCAAATCATACCTCATTATTCTCACCAAACTCTTACTTTTTCAAAAATACTATCCAAAATACTAAAACAAATGGACCCATAAGTTCCTACTCTTTTCTTCTATTCCAATTCCATTTAATCAAATTTTGTACTTGGTTGTTGGCCGTGTTTACAACACTGTTTTAAAAGCCAGACCGGATCGTCCGGTTCGACCGAGACCCAGTCTTAACTTCGGCCGAATTAATATAAAAATCGGAAATAATATAAAACCCGCTTTAAACCAGTAACAAACCGGATAAATAGTATCAGCCTGCCGGTCCGACTGGCCCGGGGTTTAAACCGGTTCACTAACTAGCAAATCTAATCCCTAAAAAACCAATTCCTAAACCTAATTTGCTTCATTTCGTTCTTCTCTTCTCCGAACTGCAAACCACAGCTTCCATTTTCATCTCCAAAGTACAACATCCACTTTCATCGTGACTTCGGCAATACCGGCACCACGCGAGTAAAGAGAACGAATTAGGAAGGAGGTCGAACTCATCAAGTTCAATTTTTCTTTAAGTTCAAAGATTGGTAGAGTAACAAGCAAAGAAACAAACACCAGAACACCCATCCAGCATCAATAGCTTTTTGGATTTTTCTTTGTGCTGGTGCCTGGGTATGTTCCCCTTTTGGTTGAGAGTTTTCTGTTTGGATCTGTTGGTTGTATTGGCTTTTCCCCTTAGCTTCTTCTTCTTTTGCGTGTCTGTCTTCAGTTTTGTAGCTCTCTGCTTTGGGTTCATGCAGTTGTGGTGCTGGTCTTTGCTATCTTCCCCAAGCAGACTGATCATCTCACCATGTATACTTTGCATGCAGTGACCAGCAACACACGACAGGACACAATTTACACGTGTTCTCCATGCACCTTAACCAATAGAAGACCTGCACAAACACCTATTGGCACAAAAGACATCATCATGAGCTACGACATAAGAGCATGTAAGCCTCCAATCGTCGCACGATACCGACATCATGGCTGACGTACTAGTCATCATAGCACTCACATACCTTCTCTCTATATAAAAGCTATCATGGCCAAGAGAGGAAGAGAGACACATGAAAAAGGGACAGAAAGAAAGAAACAGAGAAAAATAGGAGAAAAGATTTCAATTCAAAAAAGGGAAAAAGAGAGAGGAATTCCAAAGCCTTTCTCTCTGATCCCAAGGTCTCCGGGCGTCCAATAGGTTGGGATACGTTTTTTGATTACCGAAAAACTCATCTTATTGTATCCCCCAAACACATGCAGTCAAATAACATAACAGTGGACGTAGGCCTTATTCCTTTTCTGGCCAAACCACTTTAAAAACGTTGGAACTTCTCTCCAGCTCCCCTACCGTCGACCGAGAGGCATATTATCGCCTTTGCCAGTCATAGCATGCAAAACGGGTCCCATATGTTGGTTCCCAAGAACCACGCACCCATCTTGCTCGATTCTCCCAAGAGTCAATCGAGTATCTCAGGTTAGTGTGTTTCTTCATCTTGGCACTTTAGTCAGTGCGAAAAATCACATCAACACTTTCCAAATGAAGAAATGAGAACAGGCAAAAATTAACAGCAATGCTATTGTACCAGTAACACAGTATGAGCTAGTAATAATAATTTTCATAAGAATTGAGGGAGATTTGGCCCTACCAAACTAGTTTCATTTCATATTTGGCAAAAAATTTCTAACCCTAGGATTTTGAAACCAAAGGGATGAGCTATGCCAATAACGTTACTAAGCCAGCAAATAAAGATGAGTTGAAGAAATGATGGAGAGAGTCGAGATCGTACCTATGTAAACGTTGCAGCGAGAGTTTTGTACATTGTTGGAGTTGGAGAAGAAAGGACGACAAATTGGAAGTTGTTAGAATGAAGTGGAAGGAAGAGATAAGGAGAGGGGGTCAATTAATCAATGATTTGTCTGGAGATTTTTTTTTTTTTTTCCCCCTTTATTTGTGTTGTGGTGGTTGTCTATATATATATATATATATATAGAACCTCTCTATAGTGATACTTTATATAAGAATAACCTTTATGTAGTCATAAAAAATTCTGGTCCCAACTTAGGCCAGTTATAAATAAGAATAAATTTCACATTGTAATAAGTTATAGTTTTCTTAAGTCTCATCTTAAGGAACTTGCCTCTACATACTAATAATTGTATGTATATTATAAAAATATATATGTTACATTACATTAAATGTTTAAGATAAAATAAAATATTTATCTAAAGTTGTTTGAAAAAATGATTTATGTTTTAAAGTTGTTACCATATCTTTTATCTTGCAGGTACGTAATAAGTCACCAACATGGACGCCTTCTTGCTGATGTCAAAATATTTCTAACTGCATGTTTAGAGCTTCTTGGCACAAAACTTTTGATATTTCCGTACTATATTTATCCTCAAGATTATCTCATTCATTTTTTTGTCTAATTCCAGTAATGATTTCTTCTTCAGTTAAAGCATACACGACTTGTTACTCATTTGGATGATTAAGGGAGATATTAATATCCATTTGATTAGTGTAGTGAAGTTGTCAAATCTGATCAGTCAGTTTTGTAATGACTTTTTGATATTCATTTCCATACTATCATAATACTACTAAAACAATGAATTGAAATCCTAATACTATTAAAACATGAATTATAAAATAAGAAACCAAAACAATAATTTTTTAATCAAAACAATAATTATTGTAACTATACCTCTATTAAGTTGTCAAATTTGATCTCTGGTGAAGTTGCCAAATCTGATCACTCAATTTTGTAATGGCTTTTTGATATCCATTTTCATACTATCATAATGCTACTAAAACAATGTATTGAAATCCTAATACTACTAAAACATGAATTATAAAATAAGAAACCAAAACAATAATTTTTTAATCAAAACAATAGTTATTATAACTACACCTCTATTAAGTTATAACCTCCTCATAGTAACAAATTTAGTTGGTCCCAACATTATGATTATAGAGAGGTTCTACTATATATATAACAGAAAAATTATTTGATTACCTTTTTCTTTAAGAGTAAAAATGAAAAAAAAAAATCAATTTCTAATTGAATTTATCTCTCATTAGATTTTTGGATAATAATACCTTTATCATAATTTATACTTAACTGTTCTCCATTTTCCCCTACACTACCTCTAAACAAATTAAAATTCTTATTAATAATATAAGTTTTATTCATTCAATCTTTTCAAAGCACAAAGCCAAAATTCTAACACTTGTGTGTGTTTTTTAAGCTTCTTTTTTTTTTTTTTTTTTTNTTTGAATTATGAACTTCTCCGCGGCAAAGTCTGCTTTTTATAAATATTCATCGCGACTCTTCATTTTCGAAAAAATTTCAAAACACATCCGAGAGAAAAAAATTCCCTATTTCAATCCAGAGTTTTTCCAGTATTCCCCATCACATTTCTTCACTCCTTAACCTTTCTAAACACCAAAACAACTCATTTTAGCAAAGATCTTTGTGAAAAAATTGAAGAAAATTGTGGGTTAAAGAATTTGGGGCTTTTGCAATCTAGGTTGTTTTTGGCTAAATTGGTGGTGAATATGTCCTAGTTTTGGTAAGATTTCGAGTTCTCCAAGGTTTTAATTGACAATTTCGAGTTTAAAGTTGTAGATCTGAAAATTTTGGATTGTTGATTGAGTTGTGGATTTTTCGTATTATTGTGCTTTGATTTTGTTTGAGGAAGTGTAGATTGTGAATGGTGTGGTGTTGAGGAGTTTGAGTTTGAATTTTGGGAGTGTTTTGTGAAGTTTGGACGAATCGAAGTTTGGGGGTCTAGGTGCGATTTTTGGAAGTGTGATATTTTTGCAGGATTGATTGTGGTTGATAGTAGGGTGCTTAGAGTTGAATTGTTGAGTTAGAATTGTTGAGTTAGAATTGTGGTTTGGGGAAAATGCTGCTCAAAGTACTCTCTAAGGGTAAAGGAAAAAGGGAAGAAGGTAGATGACCGATTTGTTAATG